AGCACACTGTACACCTGAGAGAGCCCTTTAAGAAAACTTAATGGATGTAATTTGCCATAGAAGGAATTACCGAAGGGAATCAGATACGGCGTTCTGTACAGCACTTGGGAGATTACAGATCTAGTGAGGGGGCTGGTCTAAAGAGAAGAAAACAACCTGTAAAGGAGGAAAATACCTACTGATCAAAAATATTCCTCAGTTTCATATGATCAAATTCCATTTATCAAAAGATTTTTGAGAGCTATTTGTCAGGCACAAATGAGGAAGATCTCACTCCTATTGTTGAGTTTTGTATATGGAGAAATTTTTATCGATACTAAAGACATGGGAACCATTTTCTGTTTTCTTCCATTTGGGGTCTACCTCTCATTTCTCCTCTTAGGAGCTCTGGTGGCACAGTGCCTAAGGGATTTGACTGCTAATCAGAAGGCTGGCAGTTCAAACCCACCAGCTACTCCTCAGAAGGAAGGTTGGGCAATCTACTTCAATAGTGATAACTGCCTCAGAAACCCAAGGAGGGGTCGCTATGAGTCAGAATCAACTCAACGGCGGTGAGTTTGGTTTTTTTTCTTTTTTTTTTTCCCCCTCATTTCTCCAAACCCACCAAGCCATGGTCATGTCAGAAGCCTGCCATCCTCTTCCTTGGTTTTCTAAGCCTTCTGGTCCAGAGGAGAGTGGGGATATTTTTAGCCTTGCCCCCACTTAGGGGAGCTTTTCTGCCCTCCAGTCCAGAAAGCAGAAGTAGTGGCGGTTCCAAGGGCCCTTCTCTCCCTCATAACCTCCAGCCCCATCTCTCTTCATCCTGCCTCCCACTGAGTATATAAAACTATCCAATCCGTGGGAAAATCAGAGGCCAGACCCCGGGAGCCCTGACCTCTGGCTGACATGGCTCCCAGGAAGAGATCCAAGGCCATGATAACCTGCTGGGCACATTAACCCTTTCAGGTTCCAGGAAGGAGACTTACTATTGGGGTCTGGTCATTCTTGGGGGATAGCCAAGAAAGGCTATCTAAGTTCGAGAATTGAAATTTGGTTATTTATTTATGTCAGGAACACAGTTCTCATGCAAGTCTGGTGGAGATGATAATGTAAAGATTTGCATAGAGGCCCACTGTGGATTAGCAAACACCCCAACAAATTCGGTTCTTGAATCACACAAGCCTGACCCCTCTTAGTACTGCAGTTCCGTTTGATATCTAAATGTGTTTGGGATGTGTCTGTGGATAGATATGATGGTGAGTGTCCTTAGAAAAGGAAGCAGATAGATGGCTCAGGAGTCAGAAAATTTGGGACCTTTCTACGCCGTAAGGAGTTCCTGGGTGGTTCCACTGCTAACCAAAAGATCGGAGGTTTGAGACCACCCATAGGCGCATTGGAAGGCTTCTACTTCCAAAAATCAGCCGTTGAAAACTCTATGGAGCACAATACTGCTCTGACACACATGGGATCACCATGAGTCGGAATCGACTCAACAGTAACTGGTTCTCTGCAACTTAGCTCTGCTATCCACTGGCTGTGAAACTCCGAGCAGGTTACACAAAATCCTTGGGCCTCCACTTCCTCAAATGTAAAATGGCAGAGGTGAGGAGAGACTGGATTAACTCAGTATCTTCCAACATGTGGTACTCACACTGGTGATACATAAAGATGAATCTGGTCTGGGGTTGGCAAACTTTTTCTTAAAAGGACCAGATAGTAAATACTTTAAGATTTGTGAGCCAAAAGGCAAAATCAAAAATATGTTGTAGGTACTTATGTAAACAATTAAGATGTAAACTTTAAGACTTGTATCAAAATAAGTGTGCCTAGAAAAGAACATCGAGGGGCCTTGACCTATTGCATATTGCTAATGAATAATAATAATGATAGCAATAAGATAATTATATTAATAACAACTACTGAAGACCAAGGGCTTATCCTACCCCAGACCTCATACTAAACACAAATCAAACTCACTGTCATTGAGTCGATTCCAACTCATAGTGATCCCCAACTGGGTTTCCAAGGCAGTAAATCTTTACAGAAGATTGCCCCATCTTCTTTCCACAGAGCAGCTGGTGGCTTTGAACTACCAATTTTCTGGTTAGCAGTCAAATGCCTTAGGCACTGTGCCACCAGAGCTCCTTAGACCTCATACTAAATAGCTAATATTTTCACTCCTGGAAATTCTCACAGTATGTCTGTTGTTGTTGTTGTTATGTGCCGTGGAGTCGGCCCCGACTCATAGCGACCCCTCCTTGGGTTTCCGAGGCAGTATCACTACGGAAGTAGGATTGCCCAACCTTCCTTCCGAGGAGTGGCTGGTGGGTTTGAACCGCCAGCTGTCTGGTTAGCAGGCAAGTGTCTTAGCCACTATGCTACCAGAGCTCCTATGTTAATCTTATCTTACAAAGGAGGAACCCAGGTTTTATGGCTTTAAGTCAGGGCTTCTGGTCCCTTACTGCCCCACCCCTACTGTGATAATTTGCATTTCCCCTTCAGATATACTGAATCTGAATCTACATTTTATCAAGATGTAGTATAAGAATCACCTGGGAATCCATAAGACTCACCTGAGGATCTTGAGGGACTGTAGATACTGATTCAGTATGTCTGGGGTGGTAGTGCAAATTCTCAGCAGGGTGTCAGACCAGAATTAATCAGTTCAAAGCCCTACTTTAAAATATATATATATATATATGTCACCTTTAAAAATGTAGAATCATCTTTAGCTGGGAACCGCACAAGAACAGGTGGTGGGCCAGGTGATTGGCCCACAGATTGTAGTGTGTTACACCCTGGTTTGTTGTTGTTGTTGTTATGTGCCTTCGAGTCAAACCCGACTCATAGCGACCCCTCCTTGGGTTCCAAGGCAGTATCACTACGGAAGTAGGAATGCCCAACCTTCCTTCCGAGGAGTGGCTGGTGGGTTTGAACCGCCAGCCTTCTGGTTAGCAGTCAAGTGCCTTAGCCACTATGCTACCAGAGCTCCTAAACCCTAGTTTAGAGGGTACAAAGCCAAAAAGAAAAAAAGCTCACCACCATCAAGTTGATTCCAACTCATAGCGACCCCTCTTTGGGCAATCTACTTCTGTAGTGATACTGCCTGGGAAACCCAAGGAGGGGTCACTATGAGTCGGGGCCGACTCGACAGCACATAACAACAACAACAACAACATCACTACAGAAGTAGATTGTCCAGTCTTTCCTTCTGAAGATGGTACATGGATGAACAATTTTTATTTAAATTCTATGTATTTATTTTATTATGTTTAAAGAATACTCGCTTTCCATTTATAGAGTCATATAAAGTTTCCTTTTAAATAAATGGGTTTATGTTAAAACAAAAAGAGAGTTGATTTTTTTTAATATAATAAGTAAATAACAGTGCCCAAAGCACATGAATGAATGAAAATTACCACGGTGGTCGAGCAGATGATTGCAGTTTGAGAAACGCTGGACAGATGATTGATAAGCTCCAGATAATCTTAAAAGTTCATGCTTTTAATATGCCAGGAAAAGTCCCTGGGTGGTACGATTGGTTAATGCACTCAGCTGCTAACCAAAAGGTTAGAGGTTCAAGGTCAGCCAGAAGTTCGTTGGAAGAAAAGTCTGGTAATCTACTTCTGAAAACCCAGCCATTGAAAACCCTATGGAGCACAATTCCACCCTGGCACACCAGGGGTTGCCAGGGGTCAAAATCAACTTGGCAGCAACTGTTGTAGTTTTTTAATATCCCAAGACCTAGATTCTAGTCTTCGCTCTGATATTTACTAGCTGTGTGCCTTTGAGCCACCATGTCCTTTTTTGCAAAATGGGGTTAGAGCCACCCTATCTCGTTACATTACTGTAAGAATCAAAAAAGATAAATTGAGTGAACAAATTTTTTAATCTGCTAGACACAGATTAATTTTTTCAGAATCATGTAAATATTGGCATAGGCAAGGCTGAATGCGAGTGGAGGTCATAGGTCCAGTCTATTCTACCTGCTCTCCAGTCCTTGCCTGACACTCTCCCTACAGTTTGCCCCTTGCCAACGTGCACAGGTAATAAAGTATAGCCATTAGAATCACGGGAGTTTGAAACACACTCTCTTATCCAAAACCTGCTGCTAGATGTGATACAGAATTCAGAATTAGGAACATGATATAATATACACACACCACAGAATACCGACTATAAGCACAGGGTCTAGGACAGCCCCAACACATTAATATTTCTACAGTGCAGCATATGGCTATTTACTAAGTAGAATAGAAAAAAGTATGATTAGTCACACCTCAACTCAGACTGATTTTTTTCCTAGGAAGTAGGTTTGCACCAAACCCACTCTCACATGTGCACTTGTTCTCTCGCACTTGCTCACTCTCTTTCTGTTTTCAGAGCTTTTGTATTTCAGAACTGTGGCTTAAGTTTTCTTCATATAGAGCGATTCTTACCCTACATTCAGAAAAATTAGACATGATAAACCAGAGTTTGGGTAGTCAGGTGTGAGCCAATAGGAAACATAAATCAAGAGGCAGTATTATATAGTAAGAGGCTTGATCCTCAAATCCCAGTCTGCCACCTACAAGCAATGTCACTTGGGCAAATGTCTCAACCCCTCTGTGTCTCAGTTTTCTCATCAATAAAATGGACGTAGAAGTGCAAACCTCACAGGATGTGGCAAAGATTAAATGAGGTCATACATGGCCAGCACTGAGAGGTGTACCTGGCTCATACTTGGCAGTATAGAAGGGGTTGTGTAGTGCTTAAGGCACTTGACTGCTAACCAGAAGGCTGGCTGTTCAAACCCACCAGCCACTCCTTGGAGGGAAGGTTGGGCAATCTACTTCCCTAGTGATACCACCTCAGAAACCCAAGGAGGGGTTGTTATGAGTCAGAGCTGACTTGACAGCACATAACAACAACAACAACATTAACAACTAACTGCTGCCCTACTGCGGGCATCTGCTCAGTGTTGGCTTCCGGGAGCCAGTTGCCCCGTGCCTCCTTACAGCCTCTTCCACTGTTGCAGGGTGATGTTGGACTCAGTGACACACAGCACTTTCCTGCCCAACACATCCTTCTGTGATCCCCTGATGTCGTGGACAGATCTGTTCAGCAATGAAGAGTATTATCCTGCTTTTGAGCATCAAACAGGTGCGTATGGCTGGTGGAGTCCATCTGAGGGCAGCTGGGATGGAATTGGGCAGGAGGTGGTGCTGGTCTCAGTCAGAAGACAAAGTCATGCTTGGAGTCTGGAAATTCTGACCCTTTAACTGTGTTTAAGAAAGAGGTCCAGGGAGGGCAAGCCATCAGGAAGGGTAGCCCTCTGCAGAGGGCAACACTAGAATCCTCATGCCAACCTCTTCCCTGCTCTGTGATCTTGGGTGGTTCAGCTACTCACTAAGCCTCATTTTGCTAACAGATAAAATGAGATGATAATACTAATCTCTTAAGGTCCTTGGGTGGTGCGAATGATTAAGTGTTCAATGACTAGTCAACATGTCAGTTCAAGTCTACCCAGCGATGCCTCAGAAGGCAGGTGGTCTGCTTCCAAAAGGTCACAGCCTTGAAAATCCTATGGAGCAGTTCTACTCTGAACACATGGCTCAAACGTCTGCCCTGAGTCAAGGGCAACTAACAACAACTTGGGGTTATAATTATATTTAAATAATGTAGTAGGAAGAAAGCTTAGCCAGAGCCCAGAACACTGTGAGTGCTCGATCACTGTGGTGTAACTAACATTTAGTGAAGTGGCGTACTGCCTAAGGCATTTGACTGCTAACCAGAAGGCTGGTGGTTCAAACCCACCAGCCACTCCTCAGAAGGAAGACTGGGCAATCTACTTCTGTAGTGATACCACCTCAGAAACCCAAGGAGGGGTCACTATGAGTTGGAATCAACTCAACAGCAGTGAGTTTGGTTTTGGTTTGGAACTATGTGCTAAACATATGCCAAGTGCCCATTTCATCCTTCCAGAAGCCCCATAAAAAAGAACAATTATTTTCCCCATTTCATAGATGAAGAAACTGAGGCACCAAAAGGTTAAGTCCCTTCCTCAAGCTCACACATTTAGTTAAGTTCTAAGGCATGTGGAAGGAGCCCTGGTGGCACAATGGTTAAGGACTCTGCTGCTAACCAAAAGGATATCAGTGTGAACCCACCAGCCTGTCTGTGGGAGAAAGACAGTCTGCTTCTGTAAAGATTTACAGCCTTGGAAACCCCATGGGGCAATTTTATTCCATCCTATAGTGTCGCTAAGAGTCACAATTTACTTGATGGCAGTAGATAGGAAAGTTGACTGCAGCACCTGTACTGTTAACAACCATCTTACCTGGTTACCTTACAAATGGTGAAGCATGCTGGTTATCAATATTAATATTATTGTTATTCTCTGAGCTTCTATTTCCTTATCTCCAAAGCAGGGATGATAAGTGTCACAGTGAGGATGACGGGAGCCAAAGTGTATAAAATGGATAGCCTGACACAAAGCAAGTACTCAGTATGATGAGAGCTCTTACTGTCCCCCAGGCCTCCCTCTCCACCTTTCCTCCTCTCTCTTGGCCATTTTCTCCCCCTCAGAAGGAAGCCTGGCACCTTGTGCAATTCCTGTGTCAGAAGGAGGCCAGCTGATCTTTGCCCCAGAAACACTCTGCAGGCCTTTGTCCCCAAGGTGCCTGGGTGACTGCACATCATGGCAAACCTGGCTTACTGCTGGGCCTATAGGTACACACTTGAAGGAGATGATGCAAGGGTTAATCCAGCTGTTATCCTCCCAGAGCCTTAACCCTGTGCACCCCTGCCCTGTCAGAGTCCAAAATCAGCATCACAGGCAGCCATTTCCAGGAGAGGCCAAGCCTCTGAGGACAATGTGAAATGTCACCATCACCATGAAGCCTCTGCCTCCCAGGCCAGGGCCGGAGCTGTACAGACAGACAGACTTGAGGTCATCACTCACATAACTACCACTACAGCCACTACCACCTCACATACACACGTGAAACCTCTCACCATCTGAAGGATCTGAAGTACCCAGCTAATTTACTTGGACTTGAATCATACAGGTACATATTACAGTTCCCTAGCAGGCCTAAGAAGCACCTCATTTCCCAGAAATGCATGCAACATGTACTTGATCTCCTCCCCTCACTGTGTGGTGATTGTTATTGTTAGTGGTCATCAAGTCGATTCTGACCCATAGCAACTCTGTAGGACAGAGTAGAATTGCCCCATAGTGTTTCCAAGGCTGTAATCTTTATGGGAACAGACTGCTACCTCTTTCTCCCTCAGAGCAGCTAGTGGGTTCGAAGGGCTGACCTTTCAGGTAGCAACCAAGCATTTAATCCTTGTACCTTCAGGGTTCCTTCACTGTTTGGTTGTTGTTGTTGTTGTTGTTGTTGTTACCTGCCGTTGAGTCAGCCCGACTCATAGCAACCCTCCCTTGGGTTTCAGAGGCAGTATCACTAAGGAAGTAGATTGCCCAACCTTCCTTCCAAACTGTTTGGTTAGGAGGTTAAATTTGAAGAAGGAAAGTGAAGGCTTTGTTGTCCCCTCCTCTCCATCCCTCTGTCCCAAGATGGTGGTGCCCAGCTCCCCGTTTTCTCCCCACTGGTGCAAGGGCCCAGGCCTCTTCTAACCCAGACCTGCCATCCTGCGAGTCCCCTCTTTCTGCTATTTTCTGGGGACAGTTGAGGTATTGGAGGGAGCAGAAGGCCTTGACTGCTGCCCATGTCATGCCCAGTGAGCAGCAGCTTCTGTGGTTGTCTAGAGCTCAGAGTTTGAGCCAGACATCCTAAGTGGGAAGTCTGGCTTTAACAGTTCACTAACTCTGCATCTTAAACTCTGGTGTCCTCATTTTCTCATCTGTAATAATAATATTACAGATGAGAATAATAATAAGAAGAATGCCTACCTCATAGGGCTGTTAAGAAGAAGAAATGAGGTGATATATATGAAGAGTTTGGGTATGGCCTGACATATGGCATGCACACCTAAATGTTTGCTTAAAAATGAAGGATTAACAGAAGTGATCACCAATAGGGTTGCTGATGTGGCTTAAAAATCTGACAGACCAGGGACTGGTACACCATGCGATCCTCGGGCCATACAACTATGAGACCAGAATTAGATGGTGCCCAGCTACCACTGTCAACTACTCAAAGGGGGATCTGTGTAGGAGATACTGGATAGAGTGGGAGACCAATGTGGAACAAAACTCAAAATCATTAAAAAAAGAAAAGGGGGTTGGTGAGGGTGGGACCAGTTTGCTGGTCTGATAGAGCCTGGTGGAACACCTGAGACTACGGCCCCTTGCTGCCCTTTAGGTCTGAAATTGAACCCCCTCCTGTGGCTTCCAGCCAAACAAAAGACAGGCATATGCACTGAACATTTACATTAGGTAGATACACTCCTTACCAAAACAAAACCAAACCCACTGCGATCAAGTTGGATCCGACTCATAGCAATCCCTCCTTGGGTTTCTGAGGCAGTATCACTATGGAAGTAGATTGCCCAACCTTCCTTCTGAGGAATGGCTGGT